ACAGGGAATTCACCACAGAAATGGCAGTGATGACAGTGATGGAAAGGGCCCAGAGCATGGCACTGACTACCACCCATGAGAGGTCCTGGGGAAGGTGGCAGAAGAGCCCAGGTGGGCAGAGCATGGACCTGCCCCTCTCGATGCTGATGGCCGTCAGCCGGTACAGCCCTACGCTGTGGAACATCGGGAAGAGGAGGAAAAGGAAGCGTATGTATGCAGGGGACATGATGGAGGAGTAGGAGAAATCCTCCTGCAGGAATTGCAGAGTGGAGTGGACCATGTAGATGAGAAAGAGGAGGTTGATGAGGGCCAGGTCAAGGATGTAGGCAGTGATGGGTTTCATGGTGTCCTTGTGCATGCGGATCCTGAGGACCCAGAGCACAGCCCCGTTCCCAGCCAGCCCACAGAGGCAGATGAGCAGTGTCACACTGTGTATGGCCACGCTGGGGACATCTGTCTCACACAGATCATGCCCTTCAGTGGGTGAGATGGCAGGGGGACTGATGCTCATCCACATGGATGGACGCTGGGCATGCAGTGGGATGTGGCCCTTGGCTGTGGTCAGAGTGGATGGGCAGTCAGTGCTTGGAGAATGCAGGGATGGACCATGTGGCTCCTCAGCAGCTCCCTGCAGTGGGAAGGGTTCAGGAGGAGGAGTACTGAGGAGGTGGGAGAGTGCCGGGGAGGAGGGCGGTGGAAATGGTGGGGTGGGAGAGGGAGGTGGGAGGTTTTGGCTGGTTAGCAGGAGGTTGATAAATAACATAAAGTATAAACATTTTCAGTTCTTCTGAAGTTGATCAAAAGCAAAGTGGCCAGAATTTTAAACGATGTGTTGTAGATGGATAATGGGATGATTGGCTCTCACAGTTAAGGGATAAATACAGTGTGAATATTAAGAGAAGCTTTATTGATATATAATTATGTTATTGTAGTCTGTTGTTTACATCTCCCCTCTTCTCCCCATAGTCCCCTTCTCTCCCCTCTACACTGTTGCCATCAGAGAGCCTGAGTCATCTAGGACAGGTAGAAAGAAGGAGTGTACAAAAGCTTGTTGCTGGGGGCGAAGAGGTGCAGCATGAGAACACCTGGCCCTCCAGTCAAGCTGCAGGAAAGCAGGCTCCAGCAATAAACACAAAGAAGGGCTGACTGACAGACTTTGGGAGGGGCCAGGTTTAGCTGATGCAACCCCAGGGTATCAAAGGTGAAGCATCCATCTTGAAGATCAGCCAGCCACGTGGTGGGCAGGCATGAGGGAAGCTCCCAGGCCTGCTTCTCCTTATTTAGCCCTTTTGTCTCATTTTGTGTTAAGGTTTATTAAACCTTTAGAAATTTTAAAAAGTGGGTGGTTGTTTCTCCCATGATAAAAAGGCTGGCACACAGGATGGCAAACATGGCGGGAACCAGTGCAGAAACAGATCAGGAGGCCTGCAGTGATTTTGGGGCAAATTCTGGAGGAAGAAACAACAGTGCTTGGCCAGAGGAAAAGTTCAAGGCAAGAGCACCTTTAATATGGCAGCATGCATTGGATATGACCTCCAGAGAGACCCCTCTTAATAAACCTCCAGGATCATAAAAGTGCTTCCAGGAGGAGCTGGATGCATGGAAACGAATTCTAGGAAAATGGTGTTTGTGTATTAGATAAAAAAAACAAACTTTTTAATGCCTACATCTGGTTCTAATGTGTGGAAACTCAGCACAGCATTCCTGATGTGCAGAGTCACTGAGACAACCCTTGGGGGGCTCGGAAGTCCTGGAACATTGCCAGAAGTGTTTGGTGGCTAGACTTTGATCCTGCACAGGACGCAACACCTGTATGAGGATGGGAGGATCACACGGGGATAAATGGTGAAGGGATAGATTAATTATAGCGTGAAAACACAGGTTTTGGAATCTCGGTACAGGGGCGTTCTAGGAGACAAGATGGAGGAATTAGGGCGTGTCCTGTCCTCCTTCTTCTTCTTGTCATCCATCTTCGATGGTGATGGTGGCACTTTGAGATTGGTTCTTACTGAATGTGCACTTGTCAATAAGGGTGAAAGGTATTGGGAGGAAAAGGTAAATATCTTACATGTAGTTTTTGGTATAAAAANGAGGGGTGGGACATGATGGAGCTGCTGGGAAGATGTGGAGAGAAGGTGTGGAGTGTGGTGGGGCTGGAGAGAAGGTGTGGGATGTGGTGGGGCTGGAGAGAAGGTGTGGGGTGTGGTGGGGCTGGAGAGAAGGTGTGGGGTGTGGCGGGGCTGGAGAGAAGCTGTGGGATGTGGTGGGGCTGGAGAGAAGGTGTGGGGTGTGGTGGGGATGGAGAGAAGGTGTGGGATGTGGTGGGGCTGGAGAGAAGGTGTGGGGTGTGGTAGGGTTGGTGGCCTCAGGGAAGCCCCAGGGAGGGGGTTGATGCCCCGTGGAGCCCATGGTGACAAACACAGATGTTACCCTGCTCCTGGAAGGGGGTGGCTGTGCTGAGGATCACGGCCTCCTCCTCTCCTTGCTGCTGCACCACCTGAGACTGCTGAGAGAGCAGCTGAAGGCAGTGGAGAGGAAGAATTTCTGAAGGCAGAGACATCTTTGCACCTGGCTCACAAAATTAAAAATTAAAGTTCTCAGGGGAGATCTCTGCTGTGACACTGACAGAGCACTTGGGGTGGGGAATGCTGAGCCCCTGGGCCATCGTGTCCGTGCCAGCCCAGCTCTGGGCACTGGGGATCGTGGTTGCTGCAGAGGGAGCACAAGCCATGGCTGTGTCCCCTCTGAAATCAAGACATTGTAAGTCTAACAACAAAAGTGTATTAGACTAATAACAATTTTGAGTCAAAATTGTGAACATATTGGAAATATATTTGCCATAGACGTGTTCAAAGAAACAATGATTTTCAGGGATTTTTATACACTTAATACCCAAGATTTTTCATAGATACTCTCAAATGTTCTTCCAATTTTTATATCATGGTATTGTTGTTTTGTTTCCTTTAACTACTACCACAATATGCTGTCTCTCTTAGAGTAATGCATAAGCCAAGTTTTTTCCAGCTAAACAATAATTTATCAGATTTCATGTCCTGGTTAGACAATTCCCTTTTCTTAACTTTTCTTAGGTGCACAAGCCTAGAAATGGCTCCCTTGTTGCCATTACAATTTATCTCTTACAATTTATTATCAAGTCTTTTGGCGTGTATAGGCCTCTGAATTGCTAATTATCTCAAGAAATCATTCTTATTCCATGACATCCAATTAATTTCTAGCTGTATGATAACCATTAAAAATACATTATTGAATTTTGTTCTCCAACTATTGAGTACATTCTGTAAGGGCTATGGGTCAATAGAGTTTTCTACTGACACTCAGCCAACACATATCTAAATCAAAGCTAGCTAAAAAACCACAGTCAAATATGCCTTGACCAATTAAACTTTGTTCATTATGAAATTTCTAAACAGTCACAGAATTCCTGGCTAACTACCTCTCTGTCCCCTCCCTCCAGCCACATTCCCGGCTGGCAGCAGCAGCCAGAGGAAGCTGGGAAGCACTGGCAGAGGGGGCAAAGGCAGCTCAGGGTTCACGGTGGTGTTCATTGATATCAGACCTCAGTGGGAGGCAGGAACCAGGTGCCAGGGGGAATTTTGAGGTCACAGCCATGTTGGGAAGGATCCATTTGGGGAACAGTGCTCCAGGACCTGTGAGGGAGAAGCAAATCCATGCTCCAATGAGAAACCTGGAGAGCATTGCTCCCATATGGCCCCTGTCACTGCCTGTGCTCCCTTTTCCTGCAGGAATAAGGGTGGGAGGGTGATCCTAAGTCACTGCCCCATGGTCCTGCATGGGGGCACTTTAAGGGTTCAACAGGCTCAGAACCCCCTGTCGATGGTGGCATCATTACTGGGGGCAGTGCTCCCTTTCCGGCTCCTCAAACACCTTCTGGAGGCACTCCCTGAGGGACCCCATGGAGCAGCACCTCCAGCACTTTGTTACTGAGATGTAGATGGAGGGGTTGATGCTGCTGTGCGTGCAGGCAGACAGGAGAACAACGTGGGGGGACACAGTGGTGTAGCCGAGCTGCTGCAGGAAATTCCAGAGACTGAGGGGGAGAGTGAGGAGCACAGCCAGGAAGACAATGATGTCAAGGCTCTTGGATTGCTGCTGCTGGGAGCTACCCTTGAA